TTTTTTTTCTTTAGGCATTCGTATAGCTCTGCCGTACGATTTAAGCCCTAAACTCGTTCTAGGTTCCGAGGTTGTCGCCTGATACGACGTAAACCCTCATATCTTCTAGGCAATTTGAGTGACAGGATCACTCAAATATAAGCCCTAATTAAATAAAATTGGCAGGATAAAACACTTTAATATTTTCTTCCTAAAATTGATTCCTTAACAATGTTCCAGATTTGAGCTTTTCCCCCTTCACACCTCTTTGTCCGATTTCGTTGTAAAGTCCTATCCTTTTGACCTCTTTGAAGACATTATTCCCTGATTTTTATCGAGAGTTTTCTTAGGTGACTTCGGTCATTTAAGATGTAATTAACTATAGGGGCTTGCCCTTATAGGGAGCTTTTCCGAACCCAGCTTAAAATAAACCCTATTTAATTCTTCTGTATTAAATAGGGGAACTTGTCGGCAAATAAAACGGTTTCGCAGACCAAACGGACGTCATATCTTTCTTAGTTTATTTGATCGAGCCTCATCCTCAAGTCTTGTGTTTATCCCTCGGGATAGATATAGGATTTGAGGTAGAGTGCTCTTTCATTTAAACTGTGAAAAATATGAGGTCAGTTTGATTTTATATTTTTCTAAAATTATATATATATACGTAAATTAAAGTCCTTCCGAAGCGGGCGACGGGATTTCGATTCCAGCTACCGACAGCATCTTACGGGCGACCCCCAAACATAAACTTTTTCCCCTTTTAAGCGCCGACAACAACATAGCTATAACATAAAGTTCAAGGGCATAAGTAATGTTTTTATGCATGATAGGATAATTTTTTATTCAAAAAAGTAAGAGGGAGACCTTTATGTACGAAGTTCGCTCCAATAGCAATGTTGGAAGCATGTATCAATCACAAAAGGTATTGAGAAAGGTATGAAAGCCAAATTCGGTAACGAATTTCTAGCATTTCTTTCAATTCCTCAAATGCCAATTGAGCTTTTTTGGGCCATTCAGATTTGATCTTGGCCAACAAGGCGATTTGTGGAGCTACAATATCCATATAATGCTGAGTAAACGTACGATAATAAACTGTGAGCCCCAAAGAACACCTCAACTATTTTAAGGATTTCTAAAATTGTCATAATAAGACTGCTTCAATTTTCGTGGGATTGACTACTAAACCTTGTTTTGATACAATATGATCCAAATAGACAGCGCCTATGATATTTTTCAAAGCTGACCTCTCATAGTTAGGAATACTAATGATAATAATGATACGTGTGCTCAGTATCTTGCAAATTGTCATTATTTGAGGCGATTATAGTTGCTTTGTGAATATCATTGTTGCATTTCTAAGAAATCATAAAATGGAGGAAAACTATTGGACTTTTATGCAGAGGGTGAGTTTGTAATTTAGATTACATCAGGTACTCAATTATATGGAATGTGTCTTTGAGTAGCCGGTGTATGCTCTATATTTTGGTGTTTAACAAGGTGAATTAATAAGTGTTATATAATAAAGAAATATCTTGAAACGGTACATGCGCAACACAATTTAGATGTCTTCCAGCCGCCATGGTAAGTGGCAATAGAGTGATGGAAAACTGTGATAATGTAAATCCCATAAGTCTAGCTTTTATGCAGGCGTATTGATTCCTGCATAAAATTGCAAATCCAGGCCACTTAGACAATAATTTCTAAATTCTGTTTCTTGCAAAGAAGCCTGCTATTTACTTCCATCTAGAGTTAATAAGCTTCAACACATTATAAACATAAGACGAAAAATTTAATAAAGGAACAAAAAAAATAAAGGAAGAAGGAGAAGATGTATAATTTTTACCTCTTCTTCTGATGCAGAATTGGTGCCTGCAGCTTCTTCATCTGCCTCTTCCTCGTAGTCATCCTCGTAGTCAAGCTCCTTAGCCTTAAGACCTGGTGATGTCTCAATATCCTCCCCGTCACTTTCATACTCAGATTCCTCTCTCTCACTCTCAGAATAATCCTCAACAAGACGCTTTGATGAACGAACAGCAGACAGAGGTGGTTTCCTTGGGGTGCTTTTCTGTAAATTTGGCTGAAGAATCAAATAAGAGAGAATATCACCGTTACGCTGTTCAAACATTCGTAACAAAGTAGGAGAAAAACAGCAACATTGCTCAAGAAATAAAAGAATACCCTTTTAGCATTGCTTATACGCTTCTCAGCCTCTGCTTCTGCTTCAAAGTCATCTTCAAAACGACGACGAACTGTAGACCTACGTGAACTGGAGTAGCCTTCGTGTTCATCTTCCTGGTCAAATTAAATATATGCATTCATCACGGAAACAAAGATCAATAAAATAGTCCAGCTGCATAGAGTCCAATCGAGCAATTGTTCATAGGAGAAATAACTTACGCTTGATAACTGGGTTGTTTGGCATAGTATTTTGTTTTTGCTTTCAAAAAACAAAACAAAAAGTGCGTTTGTTTGATAGTTTTTTATCTGTTCTTTATTTTGTTTTTAAACATTTTCATTTTTATTTTCAAAATCAAGGAAACTGGTAAAACTTGTTTTTGGTGTTTTTAAAACAGTTTCTCTCAACTCAATCCCCGATCCCGACCCCAATCCCAACCATGTCCCCGAACGACACTTTCGTAGAAAACAACATCGACGCCGGTCCTTTCTCTGGTGCCAACTCCTCTAACGGCGACGAAGAGCATCTCCATGCTGACAGAGGCCAGAAACTTTCGCCGCAGCTCCCCCAGCCGGCATCTCCTCTCGCCAGAAGAAAATCTTGATGCCGCACTCTCTACCCAGAAAATCCTCTCCCACCTTCTCTCTCTCTCTATCTCTCTCTCATCCACCGCCAGCAGCAAAGCATGCCATCACCCATACAGGAAAACCTACCTGCTCCCCGTTTCTCCTCCTTTCTCTCAACCGAAATCAACCTGCAGCTTAATCCAAGCAACCTTTTCTTCACACAGTGAAAATAATAGCTCATTTTCCCAATCCGAAAGCCCCATTCTATTCCTTCCACGCTTGAAGTGTTGCTCCACTTTGACACCAATCAGATGACTCTTAACATAAAACGAGAAGAAATGGTGATACCAGAGTTAACCCAAAGAGTGATAGGAAAATCAAATATTATTGTTGAATTCATAATTAGACAAATACAATCACACAAACGGAAATAGAAATAGTAACAGACATGACACAAATGCAATTAAGATTATATCCTAAGGAGGGGTGGTGGTGGTCGGAGAAGGTCTGGAAGGTGACAGGTGGTGGAAAAAGGAGGTTGGCAAGTAGGAACAGAAAGGAGACTGTTTCCGGGGTTCTGGACAGCAAACAAGCTACCAGAATCGATGAGGGAGGGCTGTTCGGGTTTGCAGCAGCAAAAAGGAAGATGAGAAGCAGCCAGGAAGGCAGGACAGCAGTGGGTGGCTGTCCCGGGGCATTGGGATGAAGTATAACAGTAGCTGGGGTGAATTTTGGGGAGTGATAGCGAGTAGGGGTGGCAAGACGACAAGGAAACAGCAGAATCCTCCAAATAATTCTCAATGTCACAGCGGAAGAGGATCAGATTCGAGAAAACCGGAACAATAAATTTGAACCAAAAGCACAATCAAAAAATAATTAGAAAAGAACACATAAATTTTACATTAAAAACCCTAAGAACGGGAAAACACCACAGAGTCACATTACTACAAATTTCACTATGAATTTTAGAGAGTTTTAGAGATGATTCATATAAATTTCTTCTCCACACTCACATGGAGAAACTTACAGTGCACCACTCCACACTATTCCTACTGATCCAACGCATGATTTTGTTGATGAACAAACAGGAAGAGTTACACTCCAAGCCCACACATAGGCTGCCCGAAATTGTGACATAAATAGCAGTTTTCGTGAAAACTGCTCCGCGCACCTAGCACTCGGATTTGGGCACCTAGGTGCCCAGTTTTCTGGAAGCAAGCCCCCAGCGCCAGAAGTGGGCGCCTAAGCGCCTAGTTTGAGAGCAGGACTTCCACCTTCTTGGTTTGGGAACACTCAATGGGCGGTTAAACGCCTTTAGTCTGGCAACTTGGTGTTGTGTCCATTGATTAAGTGTAAGCTAGCCAGCACGTTGTTCATGAGTGCTACAATCAAACTCCACAACTAGCAATCTCCCACTTGGAGAGTGATAGCACCAAGTCCAATCCTCTGTCATGCACCTCCATCTGAATTGCATTCATAGTCACGTACCATGGTGTGACTCACCCCCGATCTCAACCTTCATGAAACCGAACTGAAGCCAAGCACGGCTTCAGTTCTTAAAAAATCACCACCTCTGTCAGCATATCCACATGATTTTCAGTTGTATGTATCTTTTCCAAAAATAACAGTTCATCTTCTAGAAGAGATCGAATGCATGATACGTGAGTTGAATGTGTTTCGTCCTGACATGAAAAACAATATTCTTAGCAAGAAGAATCACACTCATCCTGCCACTGTAGAGTTTTCCAATCCCCTGCACCTTGCCCGATTTTGCCATGAAACTCTGTAGTCAAATCATTTCCTTGCTAGCATCAGTAATAGCAACATATTCGGTCTCCTTCGTAGAAAGTGCAACGATCTTCTGCAACTTAGAAACCCAACTCACCGTTGTGTTCCCCAATACGAAGAAATACCCTGTTGTACTTCTCATGTTGTCCACGTCTCCTGCCAAAACTGAATCTAAGAATCTCTGTAGACTGATCAACGTATTTCCATAACAAAGTGCTCTGTTTATTGTTCCTCTCAAATATCTGAGAATCTATTTTACCGTCTCCCAATGATGTTTGTCTGGATTGCCCATGTACCTGTTGACTAATACCACTGCATATGTAATATCTAGCCTGATACAAATCATCGCGTATATCAAACTTCCAATTGCTGAAGCATACAGATTTCTCTTCATTTGTGTTTGCTCTGCTTCAGAGTTAGGTGATAGCTTCTTAGATAGTTTGAAGTGACTACCTAAGGGAGTGCTAAATGGCTTCGCCTCACTTATGTTAAACCTCTGTAGGATCTTTTCACCGTACTCTGACTAAGACAACTTTAGTGATCCTACACTCATGTCCCAGTTGATTCTCATCCCGAGAATCTTTCTGGTTGGACCTAAATCCTTCATCTCGAACTCACTTGATAATTGATTCTTCAAGTCCCTGATTTTCTCCATATATCTGCATCTGCAATCAACATGTTATCTACATACAATATAAATAGAATATAACAGTTACAAGTGTTTGATGAAGCAATAGTGTCTGCGTGACACTTCAAGTACCCATTTTATGACATAAACTTGTCAAATATCCTGTAACACTGTATCGGGGTCTGCTTCAAGCCATAGAGGCTCTTCTTCAATCTGCAGACAAAACCTTCTTTGCCTAGAACATTATAACCTTGTGTTTGCACCATGTATAACTTCTCCTCCACATCTCCATATAAGAAAGTTGTTTTTACATCAATCTGCTCCGGATGTAGATCTTCCAATGTTACCAAACTCAACACAACCCTGACAATCGTCATCTTCACCACGGGGGAGAAGATCTCTATATAATATACTCCTTCCTTCTATTGGAAACCCTTCACAACAAGACTTTTCTTGTAGCGCTTGCTACCATCTAACTCTTCTTTCAGCCTGTAGACTTATTTGTTGTGCAGTGCTCTTTTGCCATTTGGTAGTGCCGTTAAATGTCAAGTCTGGTTTGACTCCAAAGATTGCATTTCTTCATCCATGGCGACTTCTCACTTGCTTGAATCTTCAACTTGAGTGGTATCCTTAAAGCACTCTGGTTCACCACTATCAGTTAGTAACAAATACTATAAAGAAGGAGAATACATTTGTATGGGTAGTTTCACTCAGTTGGATCTCCTGGCTTCTGTAGCAAGTGTCTGAGGAACTTCCAATGCTCCTTATGGTTGAACGCTTCTTTCTCCATCCTCTTGATCACCGGTATCATCTATCTTCACATATCTAGATTCTTCAGAAGTAGCTAATGGACTGTCTGAGTTCTAGCCATGTCCTTATACATCTCCATCTCGTTGAAAACGACGTCCCTACTCCTAATGAATTTCTGATTATGATAATCTCAAAACTTGTACCCAAACTCATTTGAGTCATATCCAATGAAGATGCACTTGACATATTTCAAATGAAGCTTGCTCCTGGACCCTACATCAGCATGCATATATGCAGAACACTCAAATATTCTTAAATGAGAGACAAATTTTTATCACTCCAGAATTCTTCAGGTAAGCCTTCCTCCAAAGGTATTGACGGACTACCATTAATTAAATAAACTGCAGTGTTAATTGCTTCAGTCCAAAACTATTTCGGCAAGACAACATGCAATCTCATACTCCTAGCATGCTCCATGATTATTTTGTTTATGCGTTCATCCATACCATTCAGTTGTGGTGTCTTTGAGACAGTGAACTCATGCCTGATCCCCTCTGTAGCACAGTAATTCCTAAACTTCTGATCACAGTACTCACCTTCATTATTTGATCTGAGAAATTTCAATTTTAAGTTTGTGTTATTTTCTATCATAGCCTTTCATTTCTTAAAGAATTCAAAAACATCATATTCTGCTTTAAGAAATAAACACATACATTTCTCGTGTGACCATTAATGAATGTGACAAAATAGCGAGAACCTCCAATGAACAGAACTGGATACATAGATATGCACCAACTCTAGTTTCTTTGACTTCATCACTAACCCGCTCTAAAAAAAAGTAATTTTCTTCTGCTTGCTATAAATACAGTTTCACAGAAATTCAGATCAACTAATTTCAAACCTTAAAGCTTATTCATTGAAAGTAGAGACTTTATACATTTCTCATTCATATGACTAACCCTATGGTACAACAGATCTGCATCTACCCTAATTCCAGCCACATCAATAAAATTAGTCCTTTCATTGATCAGATAAAGGGTGCCTTCAATGTTGTTCTGAGTCATCACTAATGCCCCCGGGTTACCTTCCACAAGTCACCTATGAAAGTTGTCATAAGTTCTGACTTTGTCAGCTGACTCCTAGAGATGAGATTTCTCTTCAAACTAAGATATGTCTGACTTCAGTAAGCTTTCAAACTGTTTTATTCGATAACTTAGTATCAACATGACCCTTTCCTATTATACAACAGGCCTGGTTATCTCCGAAATAAACCTTCCCAAGATTACTCTAAGTATAGTTTTTGAATACCTCTTTATTGTGGCAAGCATGAAAATCCACTATCTAAGATTCAGTGCTGACTATGGATAATAACAAGGAATCAATTTGAATTTCACTTATGGAGATATTAGTAGAGAAACTACTATTTTGTTCTCCACCACCAACTTTTCTTGGAGCTTTGCAGTAATTCTTGAAATGTCCTTTCTTACCGCAGTTCCAGCACTCTCCTCTGCTTGACTTTGGCTTTCCTTTCTTAGACTCGGATCTGCCTTTGCCTGTATTCCTACCCAGATTCTTTCTTTTGTTAGCAGCATTCAATGCAGAACCTGAAGATTCACCATTCTTTATTTTTCTGTGAAATTCTTCATTCAGCATCAGACTCATGATATCATCGAAGTTCAACTTCGAAGTCCCTAAAGAATTATTCACTGCAATCATCATCAAATCATACCAGCTTTCCGATAAAGAAGATAGTATCACTAGTGTTCTGACCTCATCATCAAACTTGATCCCCATAGAACACAACTGAACTGTCACAATGTTGAAATTATTGAGATGTTCTGCCACTGAACTATCTTTTCCACCATCTTCATGTTGAATAATTTTTTTATCAGAAAAAACTTATTGGAAGAAAAAGATTTTTCGTACTTGGCCACCGCCACCATGAGATCCACTGTAGTTTTCTCATTAATAATGTTGAACGCAATAGATACAAAAAGTGTTAAGCGATCAAACCCAATGTCGTTCAATTGAACGCTTCCCTTTCCTCCATAGGCATAGACTCGGGCTCCTTTGTGATTCCTTGTAGTAGCAAGAACAATTTTTTTTGATATAGCAAAATCCTCCATCTGCATCTTCCAGAAAGTGAAGTTCGTCCCATTAAACCTTTCCACTTTGAATTTTTCTTATTCGGTCATTGCTCCCACTCGAATCAAACCCCGCTCTGATATTGGTTTTGTTGAGAATCCTTCAAACAATTCTCAATGTCACAGAGGAATAGGATCACCGAATTTGAGAAAACCGGAATAAAAAATTTAAACCAGAAGCACAATCAAAAAACAACCAGAAAATAACATAGGAATTTTATGTGGAAAACCCGAGAACGGGAAAAAAACGACGGAGCCACAAATTTCACTATGAATTTTAGAGAATTTTACAAAGAATTCACATAAGTTTTTTCTCCACACTCACACGAAAATGATTATAGTGCTCTACTTCACACTTCTATTGATCTGAAGCAAAAACACACGTGAAAAATACCATAATCCTTCTCACCAACACTTCTCACCTTCACCAGGATTTTGTTGACGAACAAACAGAAGAGTTATGCTCCAAGCTTGCACATACGCTGTCTGAAATCGAGACATAAATAGCAATTCTCGTGAAAACTGCTCCGAGCACCTGGGTGCCCAGTTCTCTGAAAGCAGGCGCCCCAACACGAGAAGTGAGAGCCTAAGGGTGCAGGACTTCCACCTTCTCGCTCTGTAAACACTCAATGGGCACTTAAGTGCCCATAGCCTGATGACTTGGCGTCAAGTGCACTGACCACTTGGAAGTCAATCGGTTTGCTGCTCATGAGTGCTACAATCAAAGTCCACAACTAACATTTTTTTTTTTCTGGATGGTGGTAGCGATACGGATGGCTGGACAACAATCGAAACAACGAGTTGAGGGAGCAGTGGCGGCAGTGAAGGTAGATGGTGGAGGGCTAGAACAACGATGACAACAAAGAGGAGGGAGGGGAAAGTGAAGGCGGCAACAAAAGCTGCAGAAAACAACAATCAGAATGTTGTTGCGGGCAGCTACAACGAGATACTGCAACTGAGAGTGACATGGGGAGAATGTGGAAGGGGATATTGAAGATAATTACCACCTTAGGGGAGAGATGCAACCGGAGCACCACCCAAACCCTCAAATACAATCCTCAAAGGGAAAAACGGACACCACCGGCTGTACTAAACAAACTCACGCAAAAAACTGAAATGCAAACCCTAATACAACACATATACATAAAATAAATGAAAGAAAAGACGAAAATTTATAATAAAAAAAAATTGAGCCTATGGATGAGATTTAAATTGAATCCTACTCCAATTTTTGTTCGATTTTTTTCCAATTACAAAAATGAGTTTTAACATTTTGTCGAGGGAGTTAAGACCAAAAAAAATGTGAAGTGGATTTTTTGTTTTTCCAAACATGTTTTTTATTTTTTCTTTTTAAAAACATAAAAATCATAGGAATACCAAACGCATTTTGTTTTATGTTAAAACAAAAAAAAGACAAATAAAAAACAAAAAACATAAAGTGGCCCCTAACTCAAGAATTTCAATAAAGAACTTAGAAAAGAAATCCTATTAGGTACTATTTGTAAGTTTGCCATCAAGAGAATAAATGGAATTGCCTAAGCATTGAGATAAAAATTATCATCCTTATCCAAATTAATATTCAAAAACTGCCAAAAAACCGTAATGACAAAAATGAGTATTAACATTTTGTCGAGGGAGTTATGACCAAAAAAATGTGAAGTAGATTTTTTATTTTTCCAAACATGTTTTTTTATTGTTTCTTTTTAAAAACATAAAAATCATAAGAATACCAAACACATTTTGTTTTATGTTAAAACAAAAAAAAAGACAAATAAAAAACAAAAAACATAAAGTGGCCCCTAACTCAAGAATTTCAATAAAGAACTTAGAAAAGAAATCCTATCAGGTACTATTTGTAAGTTTGCCATCAAGAGAATAAATGAAATTGCCTAAGCATCGAGACAAAAATTACCATCCTTCTTATCCAAATTAATATTCAAAAACTGCCGAAAAACCATAATGAATTGTAGTTCTCTTCAAATTCAACTTCCTAAAGTACATATTGAGTGCTCAGATTCAGCTTCCAGATCAAATTAAATATGTTCTGTCATGTTGAAAGCTAAGGTTAATCAAATGGGCATGCTTAACACCTTGCTTGTACATTCATTCAATACAGATATAGCTTGTCCCGTAAAATTCTCTTGAGAAACATATATGATCAATAGTTTCCAATTACATCAAGATTATTGCATTAGCTATAGCCAGTTATCGAGTTATAAATTGGAAAGGAACATCTCAAACATTTTACTTGAAAACATAATTGCTTATAAATTTCGTAAATTCTAAACCAATGTTTTATGTTCTTGATCTGAAACATAGCAAAAACTTATGACACAATTTTTAAGAACCCTGGAGAAAGTTCTTACTCAATTGCATATTCTAGATTAAGAGTATATCCAAATATAGTAAAAAAAAGCATTAAAAACTTTTTTCCGGACTTCCATAAAATGAGACTGAAACAAGATAAATCTTTTCAAATTCATCAAGATCATAGCATTTACATTAAATTCAGTAAGACCATAGCACTGAGATTGCTAGTTAATACGTTAAGTTCATACGTAAAACAATTCGAACCTCATCAAGTGCATCTTCCAGAAAACCAGGAGAAAGTTGCCGCCCTCTATTTACAGGTTGTGAATATTTGCGGTTCACTTTTTCCCTTTTACGACTAAGTTGTTCATTGGCTCTTATAGTTTGGCCTTCAATCTGCATGTATTTTTCATTGTATCAGAAGAGGCAAAGAATAATGAAGAAATTATAGAAGGAAAAAGTTTTTTTTTCTGGAAAAAAGGAAACAAAACAAACTATGCAAGATAAGCAGTGCTAAAAATTAACATCGATATATGTAAATCATGATTTTGTATTTTTTCTGGATACCCATACCATAATAAATCAACGCAAATATTCATGTTGGACATTTCAGTCACAGAATCTAGGAATCTCCACCTTTTTCTGTATTGCAGAACAAATTGAACGTTGGAAACAATAAACAAAACAAGATTACAGAATGGACCATCGATACTAAGCAACTGTTCCCAGTCAGTAACAACATAGTAGCTTATTATTGGAGGAGTATCAAAAAAACCGGTAGTTCTCACGCAAAGATCAACACCAAGTTCATCTGCTTAACATTTAATAAAGAGAAAACAAATGCCATGATAATGAATAATTATGAGAAATAGTATACTTAGTATGACCATATCGAGATGATTAGCCAAATGACTTTTGTGAGAACAATGCAACATATTTATTCAGCATCCAAATTTACTCATAAAAAATTGACTATGGCCATACTTTGTTCATACTTATCCCATTAAACGTAATATCACTAGTTCACTACACTCTCAACGCTCACAACGGGCATTAACAATATGTATATCCAAAGATTCTCAGGACTTGGTCCCCACAAAGTTGCCATGCAAAAATTTTAAGGGCACTATCGAATTCAATAGTTAATAAATAAGGAGTCCGGCTGGGGCACCAACAAACCAACTGAGTTTGAATAACACCATAAATAAAGCGTCGAGTGATTTTAGAATTCCATAAGACCTTACTCTGCAATACCCCTCAATTTTGTAATCTTGAAACCAAACATCCCTTAAATAAATACAATTTCCAAATAAGTCAGTAGGATGCAAGAAAAATGCTATAGGTGAATGTGATGATAGCATGTAAATCTCATCATTAGCACCTCTAAAATGAGGGGAGAAGAAAATAACAGAAAGGTTGTTGGCTCAATGATTGTGATGTAAAAATATTTTTGTAGAAAAAAATGCAAACATGATGAAAGTTTTGATTATTATTGTTACGTGCTCGGAAAGAAGCAAAAAAAAAGGAAAGTTAGGCTTAGCTCAACGGGAATATCCAGCACATATACAGATACAAGTGATGAGAGAACAGCTTTTTTATGTGAAAAACCTAAAAAGGAAGAAAAAAACTACGAGATATGGGCCACTTAAAATATTCCACTATAAAATTGAAGTTGTAGTCCTCATTCTCCACAACTTGAGAAGATAAGATTATAGAAGTGTGAACACTTATTTGTCCTTCTATTGTTACAATAAGAATTGTCGAACAATAATATCAATTATAATGGTTAAGTGAAAACAATTAGAAAATAAAAATATGTCAACAATAGTTGTTTAATAGTAGTTGAGCTACAATAACCGCTAGTGGTAACAATCAATAATTGGTGGAGGTCATAAGCTTTCATCACTCCTCAATAGTTTAAATTTAATCCCACAGTAGGCCCTCTGAAGTTTTTTCTGCACCAGGCCCATCCTCCAAAATATTTCCTATAACAAACCATCCTCCAGAGTTTTTCCTGCAGCAAGTCCTCCTCCGAAGCTTTTTTCTATTTTTTCTCTGCAGGTCCTATGCTGTTGTTTTTCTTGCAGGTTGTTTACTTCTCTGCAAACTTTCCTGCAGAATCACCTGTGTGAGTCTTCCGCCCACCTACAGACATCGTAGAAACTGCAACCAACAAGAACCGCAGTCAACTGGAAGTCAATTTTTCCTGCAGGTTGTTTACTTCCCTGCAAACTTCCCTACAACGTTACTTGTATAAGTCTTCTGTCTACCTACAAGCACTGTAGAAACTGCGGTAAAAAACAGCAGCAATATGGGATGAAGAGTTCAAGTTCTACCTCACAGGATATTCTCGCTCATTGATGCTTTCAAATCCAAATTGAATATGATTTTCAACCATATTTCAACTTGAGAGGGAGTGTTAAAAGGTATATTAGAAAATAATATATTCCTGTTAGAATAGATTTATTTTGTAATATAACTTTTTTTACTTTCGTATTCTAGATTTATTCCTTCGATTGAATTTATTTTCTTTCATATGTTAGTCTTTATTATTTTATGTTGTTTCATGCAATGATTAATTAGAGATATTAGGTGTAATACCTTTTCTTTCGTGCTATTTGCTTTTTCATGTTTTTTCCTATTCTAGGATTCATGTAAGGATTATTTATAACTCATTTTCATATCAATAATAATATTTTGTATTATTCTGAATTCTAACACATATAAATATGAAAGTTTGAGCATTAGTTATGTCAATATATAAGAATTAAGCAGTATGTAAATGCCCCCAAATAATAATATTTTCTAAATAAAATAAAACTAGATCTATTAACAAAAAAAGAATCAAAACAAAATAAAGATATAAATTCTTAAATTAAAGATGATTGGATAAGAAAAGTAAAATTGCTAAAGATGAAAATAAAAAAGAGCTTTTCTTATAAGAAGATATTCAACGTACATTAGTGAGCTATTTTGATAAATTTTTCAATGAAGTTTCTGAAAATACGATCCACCTTAGTAATTTTAATATCGTTAATAATAATAAAATATTTTATTTTTACCGACGCATTAGTAAAAAAAAAGTTAATGAGGCTTTAAAAAAAATTAAGGGCATAAAATCAGTAGAACCTGATGATATGCAAATTGAAGTGTAGAAATATTTAGGAGATTTGAGAGTTTATTGGCTTACTAAATTCTTTAATATTATTTTAAAAATTAAAAAGATGTATGAGTGGAGGAAAAATATTTTGGTCCCCATTTTTAAGAATAAAAGGGATGCACAAGAGTGTGCAAATTATAGAGGAATCAGATTGATGTGTCATACTTGAAAATTATGGGAGAGGGTAATAAAAGATAAGTTAAGACGTGATACAAAGATTTCTCATAATCAACTTGGATTTATGTCGGACAACTCTACTATTGAAGCTATACATTTATTGAGATGTTCGACAGAGAAGTACAGAGAAAATAAGGAAGATCTACAAATGATTTTTATTCTTTTAGAAAAAGTTTGCGATAAGGTTCCAAGAGAAGTCCTTTCAAGAGTTCTAGAGAAGAAATATATTCATATGACTTAACATTAAAAATATGTATACTAGAGATGTTACTTATGACAGAAGGAGAACTGTCCAAGTATTTTTATATATCAATTGAATTACATCAGGTATCGGCTTTAAGCCATTATCTTTTTTGTTAAGTTATGGATACTCTTACTAGAACTTTATAGGAGGATGTACCTTGTTGTATGCTTTTCGCTGATGATATCCGCCTTGTGATAAGACTAGAGAAAGAGTTAAAAAAAAACTTGAATTATGGAGGTCCACATTCGAGTCTCAAAGCCTCCGTTTGAGTAGAACTAAAACTAAATATATTGAATGTAATTTTAATAGTAGTAGCTCTAGCGGCATAGTTGTAACTATGAGTGATCAAACCAATAAAAGGTGTGAACGTTTGAGATATCTCGGGTTTGTTGCTCAAAGTGATGGTGAAATAGATGGGATGTTATTAGTAGAATTCAAGTCGGTTAGTGGAAGTAGAGGAATGCATTAGACCTATTATGTAATAGAAAAGTACCACTTAGACTGAAAGGAATTTTATAAGATTGTGATGAGACCTGCAATGCTCTATGGCGCATAATGTTGGCCTTTAAAAGGGAAGCATAAAACAAAGGTTAAGTATTGCTATGAAGAGAATGTTAAGTGGATGTGTGGCATGATACAAACAAAAAATTAAATGAATATAGCTGTGATAGGGTTGGTGTAGCTCCAGTGGCAAACAAGATTAGAGAGAGTCATCATAGATGATTTGGTCACATTAATAGATGATTTGGTCACATTTGGTCACATTAAACGTCGGTCATCTGATGATCCAGTTAAGAGAGTAGTTATTTTAGATTCAACTAATGTGAAGAAAGGCAGAGATAGACTTACAAAAACTCAAGCATATTGTATAAAAAATGATCTTAATCTATTAGAACTAAATGAAATATGACACTCAATAGGACGCAATGGAGAAAAGGATTCACGCAACTGATCCCACTTAGTGGGATATAGGCTTGTTGTTGTAGTATTATATATGGCATGCTCTTAAATTGAAAACCAAATGGACACAAGAAATAGTTGAATAATTCACTCCAGTTTAACCTAAGATTAATTTGGATACGGTGAAAATTATTAATTTGATACCATACCAAACCATGTGTTCCCTTATACCATTGTCGACACTATTTTGGTTGGGGGAGTTGCCCGTAAGAAGTTGTCGATCACCGGAATCGAAGTCCCGTCACTTGCTTCGGAATGACGTTTTAATTTACATATAGTTTTAAGTTTACAAAAATATGAAATCAAACTGACCCCATATTTTTCATAGTTTAAATGAAAAAGCGTTGTACCTCAAACCTTGTATCTGTCCCAAAGAATAAACGCAAGACTTGAGAATGAGGTTCGATCAGATAAACTAACAAATATATAACGTCCGTTTGGTCTGCGAAACCGTTTTATTTGCCGACAAATTCCCTATTTAATATGAATAATTAAATAGAGTTTATATTAAATTGGTTTCGGATAAGCTTCCTATAAGAAAGAGCCCCTATAGTTAATTACATCTTGATATCTTAAATGACTGAAGCCACATAAGAAAACTCTCGATAAAAATCAGAAAATATTATCTTCAAAGAGGTCAAAAGGATAGAACTTTTCAACGAAATCGGACAAAGAGGTGTGCAAAAGGGAATAGTTCAAACTTGAAACATTTATTATAGAATCCAAAGAAAGAAGTAGGGGGTGTCATAAATCCAAAGGAGAACCTCGGTGACTTCCCAGTCTATCATATGGTTTGACTTCAGTTTCGGGGAAGAAATATTTAAGTGTTTTATCCTGCCAATTTTATTTACTTAG